ATGTGGCTATGCTTCGTGCGTCTCATTAGGATGACCTTAGTGGATCAAAGATCAGTATTTCAGGGCTGCGTGCTTATACAATCGTCGCAGTAAGTAGGTCGCCGCGCCGGCCGCCGCAGCCAGCAATATCGCGGCGAATTTGCAAAGAGCTCAGCATTCAAACATTGGAGAATGTAAGATTAGATTAAGTTTCCAGTAATGAAACATGAAATAGGAACCACCTTACCCTTTAAAATGCAGTTTCGTTTTCGCTCGCCATTATTACATACTTATCATATCATGCTTATGTTAGAGCCTTCCTCGCCGCTACTCTGTGTCTTGATACGCAATATTCTTTCCGATTGAACCAGATTATCACTCTCTGATAGAAATTCAGGAAACTGATTAATAAAGAAGTCAAATTAAATCCAAAAGGACAACCTTTACACGGTACAAAGTTTGTACTGCGAGGCTTAAATCACTGCAGGGATCTTACAGTGACGCTTGCTGGCTTACTGATGTCCAGCACTCTGGTGTTATCAGTCACCTAGCCAACTTATGGGCATGGATGGATAAGAAAAGGTCCACACAGAAATAGATTATGGGAGAATCCAGTAAAAGTTAACCCTAGGAGATGTTAGACGAAGCTAGTTGAGCTTCAATAAGAATTACGCGGAAAATGTTGCGACTAAGACACGTACTCATTCTACATGGTGATATTGATAGTCTCTCCTCAGTGTAAGTGAAAAATCAGGATCAAGGAGCAGGTGCGATGGTAAAGGATTAAGTGGTCAGATTAGGGTTTAGTGGTGAAATCGTAACGTACTTTGGTGTCATAGTTTGCGAGCAATCCGTGTAAAGAAAGTGCCGTGTCCGTAGTCACTCGAGAAAGTTTCAAAAAACCTTATCACCAGCTGAGAGAGATCATAAGAGCATTCAAGAAAAAGCTTATCATCGGCTGTCGAAGGAAAACACAAAAAGTCACCTCACTGACCGAGAATTTGAATATTCACATTTATGAGTGGTGCATGGCTCGCTAGGACAAAAAGCTTTGGTCCACAACTGATCGAGGTTGGAGTTGAGTTCCCGTAGCGAGAAAAGACAGCTCTTCTAGAGCAAATCAGTTATTTCTGTCCTAGCGACCCACACCTGATGAGTACCACTTCGCGATGAACGTGAATGTTACTAAACAGTTTGAGCTAAATGTTGAATGAGGAGTTCGACTAGTACGACCCCACCCCAAAGTTGGAATAGGGGCGATGCAGGAGAGGCATTACTGTAGTGATAACAGCATGAACTCCAAGGTGTCCGTGAAGTCGCAAATGCTCATGCAAAATACCCAAAATTCCGCGCAAATCCTAGAAAAGAACTCAGTAAAATAATTACAAACATCGTCAAAAAAATTCATACCCCACTAAATTTGTTTGTTCTTCCGAAAACACATCTCCAATTAAACCTAACTTGACTACCCTCCAGAGAGCTGAATAAGAGCTAGCTGTAGCTGTCGAGGGATTTTTGATGATGGCTCACCCTGTTCCCGAATGCTGCGTCTATGTTCAAAATAGAGCAACACTTAAAAGTTCAGGTCATAAACGTTTTAGTTCGACTATGTGCGACTAATCAGTCCATATGGATCAAGTTGGAAAAACGATTACTGAGAAATTTAGAGAAGAACCGAAATCATTTCTTCGTAAATTAGACTTTTAGAAGTGGGCTTAAAGTGATTACCAAGCAAACAGGCAAAGATCATGGATGTCCTGATCCTGTCATAGATTTAAACTGATGGTGTCCAATGTTCTGCATGCTTTCGTTATAGTTTTACTCAGAATATTAAAACTGATTCATTTTTGAAAGGTTTGCTGTTTTGAATTCTTTATTAGCAACTGACATGCTGGTTCTTCAACCGACCGTAGCCCTTAGTGTACAGCAAACACAAAACTTACATTGAAGCAAAAAGTACTACAGCGTAAAACTAGTCACCTGGACTGCGAAATCCTTTCAGCAAAACATTCATAAGCAGGTACCGATGAGACCGAAGGTAAATCGAGTATTCTATCTTCTTGCGAATTCGGTATTCCACAAACAATATCGCGTGCAGCACATCTTATAGCTCGTCTCTTTTCGCGACTGCTGCTCATCGCAGTAAACCGCTGTGGTCCTGAAGGTTTCCTTAATTGTAGCACAGGAGCAGCAATACAACAATTCCATCCTTTTAGGACCGTAGTTAAATTTCAAAAAGGCCAAAAACAGTTGAAGCCCGCTTTAGTAGTGATGCTGATGTGGTGCTACAAATATAATAGATATAGAATTTCGCAGCTACTCCCAATTTTACAATACCCTGGATTTTGATTGACGACCTATAGCCTGTCAGCGTTTACTGTCACCACTACATCACATTTTTACAACTTATACGACCAATTATTGCAGTTTCGTGCGCGAGATAACCAAGGTTAAAACCAAAGCACTATCTATTCGCAATGAGCTGGTCTGAATTTTATTCAATTTATTCACAAACAAATGAATCAGTACAAATAGAGCCAACTGTGTTGACTGAAATAGCGGCCCTAGGCACACATCAAAACCAAAACAAAAAGACTAGCGTCAATGAGAAAGACGACTATAAGTCTAGCATAGTCAATAAACCGGATACAATCTAAACAAATAAAAGGGAAAAGAATACAATAAACTGTAAGTCTGGCCGAAATGCGAAAGGCAACCCTTGAGTAAGTGAGGTTTACGAGGTTAATGTAACAAATGAATTTACAACAAAATGCCAAAATCAAAATGATTTTGCAGATGAAATGCAATCCGCTAAAAGGCTTATGATGATCTAATAGATCTAAAGAAACAACAGATATTGCAAAATCAAAAATTTGGTAACAATGAAAGCAGTAAAAGGCTTGATAACGAACTATAGGACATCTGGAATTCGAGACCAGTTCGAAAGCCTGTTCTCAATCAGAGAAAACTGTTAAACGTGAAATGCAACAATCGTTGCATGGATAACTACGAAAATAAGTGCGCTAAATAAATAACAAACAAATAAACACAAAGTCGCTAAACTAACTCTAATTTGTAAAATAATACAACCTCAAGGGCAACCTACAACAAGTACATGCAGACATCTGCAATGACTGCGTCAATGGCTCGCCCACATAATCGATTTCTCACAAACAAAAGGGTCGCTCGAAACTTCTAACAAACCTACCACTACACATTCTTCTTCTGTGCAAAAGGATACAACGACTCGGGAAGCGCTTGAGGGAATATCGGACGGATACCTTCCATTTTGAGCACACCCATCGCTCGCAGTAATTGATACGTACCGAATTCCGCTTTCATAGATGGCGACCATGACTTGCTCTTACCCCGCCACTCACCGCCCTGAAAACCAACTTTTTTTTTAAGTTGCTTTCTTGTCTTTCTCAGACATGGCAAAACTGATCACAAAAAAGATCGCACTGACAGCAGCCAATCACGGGGTCTAACAGTAAGTCTGACTCCCCATTTTTCCTAAAAGCTTCGCTCTTTTACAAATTGTGATCAGGGATCATTGGATAGTCACCAGATGTCAACTTGAAGACTATCTTATCTATCTGTGAAAGAAACACAAAAAGTCATTCAGACCTGATCAGCAAAGAGAAATAAATGTCTGTTAGATTGTTTGCAGAAGCTCTTATAACAAACCCAAATACCTCTTATCAGACAGAAATTACCTTCACATTAGTCAAATTCTCCAGCTTGATGGCTTCAATAAGAGCAGCCTCACGAACAAAAGCCTCTTCATCGGAAACACTGTGACTGATCTGTAAACAAATCACACCGTTTCCGTTTTCCCAGATTGAACCAATGCGTTGGAGCTTTGCGTTCGAGACCTGCAATAGATTTCCTTTGTTAGAAATCGATTCAAATGCTACAAGGAAAAAAACGTGGTGCAGTAATTCAACACACTGACGACAGCGCGGCAAGTATGTATGCCGAATTTTGCAGGCCACGTAGGACATTTAGGCAACTACGTATACCGCGCCAATTACATTAGATTTGAATGGAGAAGCTCACAGAATGGTCAAATAATGTTTACGTGTGGCAGAGGTTTCCAAGCCTTTAGCGAATGTCGAATGTCACTTCAGCGCATTCGCAGTTTTCTCTTCATTAAAGAGGACACATGGATGAAAAAAAGAGCACTATAAGTTAATACAAACCTATTTGGATCGCAAGACATATGCTTTTTCTGAAGCAACCGCGTCCAAAACACTTTCGAGGTCAATCAAAAATACAATTGTACCTCAAGATAACTTAAAACGTTGAATGTCGTTGGAAATGTCCATCGAATCCATGGAATGCGTCTTTACGGATACGAGGTGAGCCAGTCGCGCTCGCGAAATCGCGCCGGTTCCACGCGGACAAAAAATTCAAAATGCGTCATGTCGTCAACGAGTTAATCTTTTATGTAAAAAGCAACAATGAAATTACGAGTAATGCAAAATGATGGAAGGTGAAAGGGAAGCTTGTAGATGCACCAACCATTTTTGGAGACTTCGCTTCCTTCTCCTTCTTCGCTTCAATCAAATGGGCCAAGGGCCGCGCCTGAAACGAAATGGATGGATGAAAGGAAATAGTTAATCGTTCAGTCATTGCTTCCTGATGTACTACGAATTCCATTTGCGCCCAAAGTAGCACTGGCATTTGAGTGGACATAATCCAACATGTATCACGAGACAGTTTTTCTAGTTCCCAAAAATGTGCGGAACTGACACGCCGACCCTGGAGTGGCATATGATTCGATCGGCTTGCACTGGAATTTCCAACTTATCCAATTCTCAAAGGATGAGGTAAGCGTGAGGTAAGAATGCCACTTGCTATTATCGAAGCCCCCTCGCCCCGATTCTCGTTAGCAGCTAATCAAAAAAAAGTAAAGAAGGACCAGCCATGCCCCTTCGCTAAAAAAAAACAACTAAGAAGGCTTCCAATCCACTAGTGTTTCCGAGAAAATAATACAGCAAAAAGAATGTATAAGTGCATTCTATTCAATATGTAGAGTAACCCACCTTTGAACCCTTTCCAACGTAGAAAATCGACGGCACGAAACTTTTCAGATCTAACGACTCGACGTCAACGCAAATCTTCCTAGGATCTAACAGCAGATAGCAAAACGCGCTCACACCAGCTAGTTGGAATTCTTCTCGGACCTGAGAACAAACGACTTACAAAATACGAACGCAGGAGCAACAGGCATTTTTTTAGATTCCTGATGGTTGAAAAGACACGCTTGCATACCTGATCATCCAATGGCTTCCCTCTGTCCGCTGTAGATATATCCAACATCGCCATTTCCAGCTGACGCGAGTATCGCACTCCCTTTACGTTGGCCGCACCACGACGCATTGCAACCAGCTTCTTCTCATACATTCCACGAGTCCTAATTTCAGAAATCGGTACAATCAATAAGAATAACCCAGCTGATTTCTACAACTACATCAAAGATCTTATAAAAACATGTAGAAGCATGGGTTAAGGGATTTATTTCTTCAGAAAATCCTGATGAAAGTAAGAATGCTCACAGTAACCGCAGTAGAAGAGGGTTAAAACGCGACAAAATCATAGATCTTCCCAGAAAGGCCATCGACGGAACCGAGTGACACCGAGTACAGAACAAAATGAACCTGTAGGGCACTATGCACAATGATAACACTAATTATCATAGATGCGATCATCTAGCATCCCTTTACCGTCATCATTCCATGAAATTGGGTAAAATCTCCTTGGCTCTACATATAACGCTTAGCAGCAAAGTGGTAAGTATTGCAGTTGCGCCAATGAATCGGAATGGAATTCTCGAACAACTCAATCAGCCGTACCGACGGATGGGACACAAAAATATCGATAGTATATCTTCATGCGACAAACGTGTGACTTGTTTCATCTGTCATTAACAGATCTGGAAGGGAAGATGTTCGGAGCATACAGACAAGTGCAGAAGGGAATTCGAAGTCCAGCACCATCATGGACCAAGCATCCGGGCCGCATTGTCCATACAAAACAGAGTTCTGGCAGGTCAAGCACACGCGATTTTGCAGTAGTTGTCGAGGCAGAGCTGTTACCGACTGGATACTTCAGGACGGCTCTGCTCGACGCTTCACCTACACTGGCCAAAAAGAATGGGAGCGGCAAGAATGAGTATGTTGTTGACGCTTTTCCGATGATTCGATGAATAATGGGACAACAGATTATACAGGCGACCAATGGTGCTTTTAATAAAAAAAAATTGACCGTTATATCTACGAGTAATCATATTTGGTCCTACCTATCAAGCGCAACTGATGCAGTGAAAGCAAGTGCGCTCAAAAGTTTCAAGGAACTTATTCGTGCTATAAGATATGCCAGTCCTATGCCGTAAGAGATGATTTTCGAGTAGCATTATAGCAATGAGTAGCAATGAAACGCCTAATGACTGGTTGATGAGGCGGCCCACCTGGCACACATAGGTCCAGCAACGATGCCAACTTTTCTCAGCTCAGCTTTCAACTGCGCATCAGTGAGACGACGTACCTTTCGCAGCTGACCGTCATCAACATTAGGCGACAACACCGCTTCGCCGATTTTCATCTGAAATGCTTATTGAAAGTATAATTTCATATAATGTACACGACAATCATTACCTGCTGTACTCTCTTCTGCAACTCCGTCATATCAAAGCTCTCATCGGCCGTGAGGTAGGCGCTCTGACTTTCTGAAGATTAGGTACTGGAGACTACAACAAAGCTCTGGGAAAGGAAAGAGTAGTTAAAATTCCTGGACATACCTTGACTGCTGTCCTTTTCGCTTAACCACTTGGAAAGATCGTCAGCAGGCATCTCTTCAATCGGCGGTGCTGATGGTTCAGGCCGTGTCCTAACAGTCACTGGTGTATTTCTGAAGACGCGCCTAAATTTTTGATAATAAATGATCCTCGACGATAACTGAAATTACAATTAGGAACCAACTGTTGGTCCATCGCAGTCGTCGACGGACTCTGTCCAGGCCTCCATGCCGCAGGCTGTCCCCCAGACGGTAGATGGTGCGGTGTATACGCTTTAGTCGTTTGGGGGAAGCGGGGGTGCCAGTCTCGTTCGTACTTTATCTCAGGATCACTACTTGATCTCCTTGGACTTGAAGGAACAGCCACAGTGACATCATTTGAAAGGGCAGGTGTGCGTGGACCATTGACTGTAGCACCTCGGAATGATTTCGGCACTGCAAAACTTCAAGTAAGCAAGTTTCTCAGTAATATGTCACTCCGATGAGCAGGACTTCGATGACAATTTTGGAATGAACTGGCCAAAGAAACCTAAATAGGCATTCTACCTAGAATTTTTGAAAGTTGATCTATCAAAAGAGATTTGAAAATCATCCACTAAAAGTATTTCTCGACGATATTTTATAAATATCGTGATTACTAGAATACTGCCACAAATATTACCTAGAATACTGCCACAAATATTACTATGTAAAAATGGTTTCCAACTACAAATTTCGATGAGTACAAATTTTTCGAGATTTTCATACAAGCAGTACGCTCAAGCTTTGCTTTGATGAAATCAGAGCAAAACACCTGAACTAAAATGTTTTGGAAGTCAGACTTACCAGCTGGATACGGTAGATTAGACGGTGTTGGGCGCGGCATTTTGTCGATAGCGGGATAGCCTGGAACAGTGGAGCGACCGGAAGAAAGTGTACCTCCGCAAGGAGCCTGACCACTGATATGTGTGGTAATAACTGGAACATTGGTTGTAAAAGCACTTGTTGGGGCTTCAGTCACTGGAGGTGCTACCTGAAACATATTTAAGTTCACTTCCGTTAAGAAAAGAAAGAACGAAGAAGCAACCTTTCACATTGTTCTCTACCCCATCCCTATTCTGCGATACAGATCAGCTTCAGCTTAGAACGCCCAAAAACAGTGTAGCAAAAAAACCTGAGCCTCTAATCGGTGCTCTTCAATATAATGAGCGAAGAAAAATATAATGCCCTCTTCGCCAATACAACGTCTTTCTTATCAGTTTCTCCTTGAGTAAATACAACAACTGATAAGAAACGCACCAAGCTTGGCCTCCTGCGGCCCAAATTGAACGACCTCCGCACTTTTCTTCGAATGCTCCTCATGAAATTGGTATTGGTTGCTGTTCCCATCCCAGCATGACATGCAAATAGCCGCCTTATAATTCCTCTCTGCTCTCTAGTGCTTTTGGCAAGCATTCGCTGAAGAAACCTGTAAAAGCATGAGCTTATCCCTAAGGTATTGTATCTGGATTTGGTGAGCAACGTGAACCTCGCTCCTAACACATTGGCGACAGCGCGGCAAATGTATGCCACCATTTACTGGCCACGTTGGACATTGGGTCGACTATGTGCTTCATACCCATTACATATATTTTTGATGCATGCCCTTCTTACCAAGTTTTGTGTGCATTCTATAGACTATACATTAAGATAACCGAAAACGTTATGGCCAAACATGCTTTAGTACGGCAGGAATCTTCCAAGTTTTACGAGAATGCCTGCCAATGGAAGTAAATATGCATTAGGTCGTGAAGACAGTTCTAGCGCATTTGAGCGTTCCATTTTTAAATGCTTTATTTTACCTCGGCTTCAAGCTTGCTGCCACCTTGCTATATGCCATTTTGGAGAAGATTTTTGTCCTATCTAACAATGCGATCAGTTTTGTTCTGTATCATTTGGTTATCACTTTTTGGAGCTTTGAATACGGCATACTCGAAAAATAAGTTTCCCTTTTCACGCTCAAAACAGGCCTGTAATGAGCGGAAGCAAGTCAAGATGTTACAACTGCGCTCGGCAGAGATTCGCAATAAAAATGGTACGTAGCAATAGCTCAAAAGCTTTTTCAACGATAGCGAGAGCCTTAGATATAATGAGGGTGGTGGACAATGCCAAAGATTAGCCGTATATTCTGGCTGAAGCGCGCTTGCACAGAACTATTGTGAAGGTTCTTCCTAGATGGGTAGATCGCACTTGCTTTGCGGTTTCTTGCTGAACGACAAGACCTGGAAAGTCCAAAAATTTAATAATGGCGTGCCGCGACAACACTCCATTTCAAAGGGCCGCCCGCCGCTTTTGAGCTTGTTTTTTTTCCACTCGTTCATGACAAACGATGAAGAGCGGATTCATTGTTAGAGCATACGAACTTCTGCTGAATGTACCGGCCGTGATAAGGCTCTACAAACATTGCCAAACTGAAACTGTACTGAAGGAAGATTGAGATGACCTTCATGAGTTCGTCGCCTTTTCCAGCTCTTCGGGAAAAGGCGAGAACTGTTGATGTGGGAAGTTGATGTACACTTGACTGTATATCATACTCCTAGACTCCAGCAAATTAGCCCGCTGTTCCTCATTATGAAGGAACTAACTCATCCCTGACACGCGGCTCGGACGGACATCGCACAACCAGCCCTCCACAACTTGAACCAGCTGGGCTACGAATTAGTGGGGCGACCATCTTACTCGAGACCTTTTTCATAAAACCTGTTAGTTTCTCAATGACTTGAATAACTTCTTCAAAGAGTTATGCTCCAGAATCCAACATGATGCTGAAAAGGCCTAGGGTTCGACGTTTATAGAGCTCCACTGTTCTGCACGACCGGGCTAGTTCGACTCATTTCTTATTGGCAGAGGATTATGGATTGTAACAATTTTCGCTTCAAAAGCGCAAGAACTTTCTTCACGACCTGATACAAACCCATCCGAACGACAGGATATGTGATCTACTGAGACAATCTAGCTCAGAATTAAATCTGTAATCAGTACAGTGAAAAAAGTTAAATTGGCCTTCCCGTAATCATAACACATCATTTCGGTTAAACTTCCATTACTGTAAATTCCGATAGGACAAACACATTGAACATTACTGAAAACATTATGTCGCATCTGGGTTTTGCACACTCAGAAGTTGAAATCCACGGATGTGAAGTGAGTTGATCGCGCTCGCAAAATTGTGCCGGTCTCAAGCGGCCAAAAAATCCAAAACGCGCGATGTTGTCAATGTATCAATGTGTATTTATCTTGAATGAACTATTAAAGTTTCGCACCTCTGTGTGTTCCCCGTAGCCAGGTTCTGAGGAGTGCGACCGTGCAGATCTTCTGCCAGTGGATCAGCTCCATAGTGCATCAACAGTTGTGCCATTGCTAAGCAGTCGTAAGCGCAAGCCACATGTAGCGGCGTCAACCCGTCATCCGACCTTGCACAGGGATTTGCACCGTGCACTAAAACCAAGCAATCATCAGAAATCTGATAAATTCCTGTGGAAAATGACTTACCCAGCAAATTACGAGCCGCATCAAGCGCTGTTGTGGTCGAGCTGCTGGCCAGAAGATGTAATGTGTTGGTCATTGGTCGGCTAGGTCGATCATACGGTGTCTGTACAACAAACTCCTTTGATAAGTCATTGCAAGCGGAAGTTTACGAGATGGAAGGACCGACAGAAAACGGAAAAGCGTACAAGAGATAGAGTTAGAGCGACGGTACTGATAACACGATCGAGAATAAGTGCACTTTAAGAGTGGTTCGAACGGCATTACACTGTATAAAAAACAATAATTACGATAAGGTACCGATTGGAACGTGCAATTAAGTATAAACAAAAACAAACAGAACTTTATTGTGCTAATGGAAGAAAATAAGCAAATCATGTGAATGATCAAAGCGTGTGAAAGCAAATCAAAAGTGAGAGCAAAGTGCAAATAAAACTAGAGAAACATCAAATATGTATGTCGAACCAGTAGCAACACCTACACAATAAACAACCTAATAAGTTGTGCATAATATTAAGTGAATCGAGTGCAAAGGCAATAAAATTTGGTTAAAGATTCTATTACGCATTTGATTACAGCACGGATAGCCACATAAAACTCTCGCAGAAGTTTAATGTCAGTTGAAACCCATAACTTCCAAAACGTTAAACAATCAAACGAATCCCACCAAAATCTCCCGTGATCAGAAAAAGTTGACGCTGCATCAAACTCTAACAAACTTCTATAAAAATGGGCATACAAACGAGTGAATCACAGTGAATCGAAGAAGTAACCGTACACTATTGGCACATGTAAAGGGTTCTCTACCCTAAATCCGAATTTGTAGGCAAACAGGTGATTTAATAGCAAAAGAACTGATCTACATCTACATCTAGAGCAGGAATGGAGGTAGTGCTGGAACATATCAATAATCCTGTGGGAGGATTTACACAAGGCGCCAAGGTATGCTCAAACTAGAACAATAAAAGAAGCTGTGGGACATATCTACAGTCAAGTGATCTGAACAGAACTGTAACATAATAAATCTAACAGTATAACCAAATTTAACGAACACGAATCAAACCGAGTTTGTATTAAAGCAATGACTGTAAAAGAACTAGAAATCTCTTTACACCGGAAACCCATTTCTAGTTGAGCGAATATGCTCTATAAAACTATACCCTCACAAAACGTAAAACTGGATATAACCCTCATAAGACACATTGACTACAAAAAGCTATTTGTCCAGGCATATAATCTCTACATGGACAAATTCTTACAGCTTTTGTACCTGTCGGTGGTCGACTTGCACAGCTGAACATTAAGGAATTGGCCTGCAGAGAACAGTTATATGGAGCATGAGGTTCGGTTGAGTTGACCAAACTATCCGACGAACAACCAATGCTAAATGAGGTACTATGAGATGATGTATTAGGTTTTACATATATTTTGAGCATAAGAGAAGATGTCACTTCCAAAGGTTCGGTTTCTCCACGCTCTCCTATCATCACTTCCTACAATTGCGAAGGAATAAAATGCAGAAATGAGATAAACGAAGTTAAATCGCGGTCTTTTGCGAGGAGTCAATTCGATGAGGGAAACAGAAGAGAGGCTCCGTTATCGCTTGAAATGACTGCTTGAAGAAAGGGTGTTACTAGTGCGAATGAACGGAGAGATGATAGCTCATGGGCGTCGGTTGGGTGTTCAAAAAAAAAAACAAACAAAGCGAAAACGATGGCTGGAGCTCAACTGCTGCATAGATGCGGGGCGGGGAAACTATGTTAGAACGTGAAAATTAATCTATTAGATAGAACTTTGAAGTAGCAAAAGTTTGACAATAAAACGCCCAGAATAAAAAGTTGCCCACCTAGACATGAATTTCGGTGAATTCACGTGAGGAAAAAAAGATGGCTCACACACCAAGTCCGCAGAATCGCATGCCATTTCACATGACTCGCCTTGAGCGCCTAATTTCGGCTGCAAGTATAATTCAGAGTTAGTAACACGGTTAAAAAAAAGGCTCTCGATGTCCCAGAAATGTAATAAAATGCTGGATGACCACGGCGTTCACAAACCGCAAAGTAAATAGATGAGTCTCAGGAAATTTGCTGGCCTCTCGTTCTTGAAAGTAAAAACAATGCAAAATGTACCTCGAGAGCACTGATTGGAGGCCATTTCGATGCGCCACTACACAAATCACGATGAATCAATATATTCACCCTAATCAGCATCCCTTGTGGACTGAACTCTTCTGGTACAAATGGCTGAGGCTGAAATAAAGGTGATGGGCAAGGCATCACTTGAAAAAAAAAGCAGAAAAAAATATTAAAATTGCTCTACTGAATCAACTGTGAATATGAAAGAAAGAAGGAGCCAATTAGTACTATCTGGGTGACCTAAATCAGTTCTACTGAATCACCCAAGTTTTAACTTGTGAGTATTGAAATATCTCGCACAGAGATGGGCTACGTGTGGGTTGTAAAAGTGCAGGTGCAGACTTGTATCCCTTGGTGTCTCCTTAGGTACTTGAGATCTCTCACATAGTCATAATACCTAGCCACGCACCATCGATCCGTCTTGTGACCGAGCTGATTAGTGAATTTGGAGTTTCGCCGAGCTCACGAAATGTGGGCAGATCGGATCTCTGAATACGAGAGGGGAGTGACCCGACGTCGCCGCGAGTGGCTTGATGACAGACTCCTCGTTCTAGGAGCTTTACTGGCTCCAGAGCGTCACACGATGCGAGCTTCGTTCTCTTCACCAGTTGAAGAATGTACCTGTCCCCGTGTGGAGGTGGTAGTGCAATAGTTCCTACAAGACATCCCCAACGAGGAGATGCTCCAATCGTGGAAGATGGCAGATGAATTGTGGTCAACACCCTTTTGTTGTTTGGATGAAGGCTAGAATCTATAGTAGTAAATTCTAGCAGTCATGTAATTGGGGCGATCAATCGCCACAGCTTCTAAATAACACCTACGGCTGTCACGAAACTGTGGAACTTCGGTTCCAACACGCATAATTTGGTAGGGTATCTCTTCAACCCCTGCCTTTGGGTTAGTGCTGGGATATGTACTTGGCCAACAAATACACATAGTTGGTTGAGAAAAAGTGAACTCAAGGTAGTGCTCCTTCACAAAAAAAAATTACCCAACCTGCTCACTTAATGCCCGCTTTATGGCATCTTCCAATTCGTCAGTGTTGTTGAAGTCAACAGTGTACACATACGGTACCCCAATGCGTTCCATATAAGGAGACTGGCTGGTGAACTAAAGAGAACACATTACAGCTGTTTAGCATCATTCGGCTAATTTCACATTTTCAGAAGCTGGAAGTATCCAAGAAAAAGGCAGATCCTTATTGGCCTACCTCACGCAATGTTGGTTTGTCCCGAAAGAACGCCGTATTCAACCGGGTTTTAGCAGGTTTAAACTTTGGATTGATGAACACTGCACCATGCGATATAGCCTCCAATGGAGCCGGACCTCAAATACTGATACTTGTAAATACGAAAATACAACAATTCTAGCTCGAAGAACAAAGTTTTTAAAAATTGAAACGTCATCAAATACATCTAGATATGTACACATACCTTCAAATGGGAATCCAAGGCCTACAAAGACACTGGCCGATTTCAGGAGAGCTGCCACCTCTGTTATGTTTAGGAAACCATGATTGACGATGCCAGAGAACACCGATTCATTGGCATTCTTTAAATCAGAAACAGTAGCGTGCACCTAAAGTAGTAAATAAAAACAGTTTTCAGCTATCAACTCGACTGGACTATTCGTTTCAACAAAATCTAACCTCCGTTAAAGACTTCAGAACTTCTATAACGGGCTCCGATTCCGTCCACATATACTTCTCCTTCCCATACACCAGCGATATTGGGCGATCGAGGGCATTTCGATTGTAAAGTGGCTCTACATCAATATGATGAATGGCAAATCCAAGAAAATCGTTATCGGGTGTATGCGGGAAGAAGGTCCAGTGCTGTAGGAGTTTTAGTCCATGTCCTCCCCAAGGATTAGAGGAAGCGCCTCCTGCAAGTGATAAACATATGGTATAAGAATATTCATAGCCATGAGCTTCAATTCTACAAGCACTTCAACAGGATCAGGCATAGTGACGGGAGATTTCTTGAGCGCAACCACGCCACTTTATGAACATGGCCTCCATATGTCCTCACACTTCTCCTCCTGCACCACGCAAACCTCCAAAATCTACTTTTCAAAAAGGAAGAATATCAACTGTGTCATACTGTGGAAAGTGTACCTTATTTTGAGGGAAAACAGAATTAACGGCATAATTCGCATAGCAAACCCTTCCACTTCGGCCTATACGACCCTCGTGTGAATACAAGGTGGGGCTAAAAAAGGTCACTCTCCCTTCACTTCAGAACGGAATTAATCACACTTTGCTACAACCAATATATTCTCTGAAATGGAAATCGAAAATCACAATCCAAACTTCAAAGCTTCACAACAGCCTTCAGCCTTCTAGATAAGGATTTCAGAAGAATTTTCCACGGGAGCTGGAAGCTTCCAGGTTCGAGCTAAACGAAGTCCTCGACTGTAGTAGACGGCGATGTTTACAAAGCTGGTCGGAAGCGGGTCTTGCATAGCAGAGCTACTGTCTTTAGAAATTTATCACAGTAAATCGATTGAAGAAATTATGTAGCAGCTTCAGCTGGAGCGATTACGGTAAGCCTCCTTGAGCTCGACGGTGATGGCAGATGACGTCATATTCTGGAGACGGTTGGGGCAGTGAAGGAGAGCGTGTTCCTTCTTATGGAGAGACTGAAGAATTTGGCTACAAACGTTTCTCTAACGGCAGCACCCTGTGCCACGAAGAGTTTTGATTTGAGCCACGGGTAAGGTGCTCTTTTTGGCCACAACCACCCCCTCACCCTGTTGGTCAGAATGCTCACGTCACTAATGCCAAATACTTGAGAAAATGATAGTTTAGTGATGAGCTTCCGACCAAATTGGTAATAACAAAACGGCAAAAATTTCGAACATTACTGCAAAGTAGGGAAATTTTGACAAAAAGTTGTGGGCCAACACCTCGGAAAAGCAGCTTACCGTTTTGTGCGAAATCAGCTTGGTGTGCTTTGAAGTAAGATCTATAGTTAAACTCCACATGCGTTCCGAAGCTGTCGACTAGACGTATCAAACACCTGTAATTTTTCAACCTTTGTAAACAGCAACCGCTCCGAAACTGAAATACGCATCGCTAGAGTTATAAGAGAACAAACCAGTGATGAATCAAATGAAGTAATTTCCTGAGACAAAGTAATTTACTCATACATACTTGTTCCGCAAAAGGAATTCTCTTCGCGACCGGAACGATCTCAAGCCAATAATATCAGTGATGATAAGATCCACACGTTTTTGTTTACTAGGGCAAGGTCCGTCAAATGGAAATTTATCCACATGCCTAAACAAATAAGAGACATAAATAAATAGAATTTCAAAAAAGGCCACTAAACACCAACAGTCAAAATTCACTAAAATGATAGGTCAAATAAAAACGAGTGAGTCACAGTTAAAACTACATCATTCATTTTCTCTGCCCTGAAATTCTCGAAATGAAAACCAGGAACAAAGAAATAATTAGGTCTTCCCAAGTAGGAATTTAATCTTACACTCACTTTTACGAGCAGTAGTTTACTTCTACATACTAAACGACCAACCAAAGACTTATTATGAAAAGCTGAGTTCACCGTAGCCAAAAACTTACCGAATAAGGGAAGGCTTATCATTCGATATGTACAGGTTGTGCCCCAACAGAAACAAACAACGCGATAAGATCCGACCACTGCAATAATTCTCCCAATGGTCCTCCACTGCGAGATTTTTCACCGATGTGTAAACTAGTCTCTGAGAGTAGCCCCAAGATGGATCAGTATCTGAAGTAGATCATTAATACGGAAGCAAAGGCGATACAAAAATAATGGAGGTGATAAGTCCTAAACGATCGTGCAAAAAATGGATAGATTCAATCATTGTGGAAGAAAAGTAATCAGCCATACATTCATTTTCCTTCGATTGGATGTCGATTTTGGATATTTGAGAGTGGTCGCATGCAATGCACCTATCCAGCTTGACCAGTATTGTGTGAGACGATTTTTGATGTAATCATAATTTTCAGCATTTCCGGCGAGCCTCAGAAAAAGTTTTTTCAGATCGGTGTTGGGACTGAAAGTTTGATTAACAGCCGAGCCTTTGCAAAACGCGTATTTCTCACCGAAAAATTAAGCGACAACAATAAACAAATAAACATAAAGTACAAGAGGGAGGTGGTATTCGTAATATTGAGCTAAGTCACTGACTTGTGAAACCATATGAAAGAACGCAGTGTTGAAAAGAAGAGAAAAATGAACAGTCCCCAGCTAGAGAACCTATCTCCTGTGCGCCGACACTACTGACTCCCCCCAAAATGGCTCGTAGTAGTTTCAACATTTGTTTTCCCGGCATGTTAGTTGTACGCGTTGAATTTTTCGATAGAGTGGCGATTTATTCAGCAGTCAATGCAGCCGCTGAATAAACCGTTCCAGCTCTCGAAAAACAAAACGACTAACGCATCATTGGCCCTGGCTTGAAGTCGTACTTTAGTTGCATGATTTTTAACTCTTGTTTTGATATCGCATCCCTGAACAGTGACCTAATTTGGGGCCAGAGTGACAAGCTACACGCGACTCGGACTGACTGCGGAGTGAAGAAGAGAAGAATATTCCGATACCGTATTTAAAACAGAGGGAGTGACCACAAACTAGCCAGCTCTTTGCTGGAGAATGGGGACTACCAAGAAAAACAGTTAGGTTTGAGTAAATAAAAAAAAACAGAACTTGGATAATTTTTTAGGGGGAATAATCAAAGGAAAGTTCGAATTCCGTTTCGCACGTGCCCTTAGATGGAAGCCAAACTGAAAAATACCCTCCCTCCGTGCTCCTCAGTAGGGAAGGAAGGAAAAAGCGTTGAATGAACATAATTTTATAACTGGAAAAAAGCAATTATATACACAAACAAGCAAAAAATTCAGCACGAAGAAGTGCGCGACTTTGTTAGGTCAGCTTCCCCTCCGCTCACAACAGGGTGACTCTAGTAAAGAACAGCGTGCTTTAGATGATGAACTTTTCCAATAAAAAACAGCTGATAAAACCCAACCGTGTTGAAACATTCGCATAACGGCCTATGACCTCGCAAACTCCAACTTTTATCACATAATGATGGCTCCCCAGGTTTCATCACTCGAATTCGCTACATTCCCCTAGCCGATCCACATCCTGTGCATGATCATTAGGATACGTTTCAGATTTTCCAATCGTAATTGCAAGTGTGGAGAGACCCGATTTCAGTATCCCCCCCCCGAAAGTCTGACAGCTATCTAAACAGTCGTTCGAGAGGCGCTCGATATCTTCCACGGGCTACACCCCCTTTGGTATCAGAAGCTCACTTTCGTGTCATGACTTTTGTGAGAGGTAAGCTTGATGTCAAAAGTCAGTAACGTTGCATGGCGACGTTGGGTCGGATTGTCGTAAATTGACATGCATTTTTCAGGCTCTGGCTCTGGAAACATTAGATGATAGCTTCTTTGACAATCTCGTGTTGAGTACAATAGGAGAATGGGAAAAGGTAGTAACTTTTGCCTTTTGTGGAAAGTAGAATAATAATAGTAGTAGCAATAATAATACATACACACATACATACATACATAATGAAAGTGGCGGAAAGTATGGAAATGTAGGCATGAGAAGAAAAATTGTGCGATACCTTTGCAAAATCAACTGTTCTGGAACTAGATTCTACTTCGTCGAAGAAAAGCGGAGGGCAGTGATTTTCAACTTCAGAAAGATAGCGTCGCATAGAGCAAATCGACCTTAAGCTAATAAATACGACTACTGACAAAGAAGTCCAAAGAGGCCATTTAAGGTTAAACGTATGCAAAAACAAGATGAAAACGAAATGTGAAGCGCTGAAAGGTTATCAGAATAGAGCTACAAACAATAAAACAGAAAACGAACGCACCCGTTAACACCATAATCAGCATAACATTGATGTGTCTTCCACCCATTTCTCAACCACTGCAACTTTTCTTGACAATTCGGATAAGATTGCATATCATCCGGGAATTGCATACAATCAAAGGGATCGTTATCTGGAATGGCTTCTATTCATTCGGCTTGTTTTTGGAGCACACTACTAGTAACATTTTCGAATACACTTTTCAAATAATGAAGAATGGTCTCAAAGGGCGGCGGACTTTTGGCTCGTCCGGGTTGGCACGCGGCAAATTGCGCGGCGATCCCGACGCATCGCGGGAATTCAACACGTCAACGTGTGAAGATTGCGGATAAAATCCGCAAGGTTCTGCAATACGAAATACATCTGAACGGCTGGAATTTTGAGGACAGCGGTGGTTGTAACAGTAGAAAGAGATAAGAAGGAACTAGCGTAGTGCTGTTACGGCAATCAGGGCGCTCATGTCTTTGGGGGGGGGACGTTCCATTAGGGGGAAGTGAGTGAGCCAATCACTGTGTTTGGGACGAGACTTAGGGAGGAGAAGGGATTCTGGGGGAAGTAATTTGTGTTCTCCCTGGCGTTCCTCTCCTGTGCTGGGCTTAGTCCTAGTGACCTACCGTCGACCCTGTTTTGTTGTTTTGTTTCGAATGTTTCTCCTTTGGACGTGAGCGCCTCGATCAGCAAAACATATATAGTTGACATTAAACCTCAACAAAAACTCCCAATTTTAGTGACTCTTATTTGCTTTGATGGTAGTAGTGACATTTACATGAATGCCCTCACTCAACTCCTTGCGCTGGATTCTCCTCACCGATACTGCTGCTTCCAACCCCCGCGAGCGCGGAAAGATTTTCAAACAGCAGAACCATGCGGAGTTTATCCGCAATCTGCACACGCATTGACGTGTTGAATTCTACCCGAAGAACCCGCGAAGCCTTGTCCCGTCCAGATCGCCGCGCGTGCCGCCGCGCAACTCGCCGCGTGACAGGCCGGACGAGCCAAAAGTCCCGCACCCGGTCTCAAATACCATATAGCAACGCACTTTAAGAGATACTATCTGACAAAGGGAGAGAAGGGGGAGTATCTGCTGTATTCCCCCAGGTGAACGCGCCCTCATTCTGAGGCTGGAGAGCTTGCTACGTCGTAGGACCAGCAACCTCCACGTTTCTAGCTTTCTCTGAAGGGTCACGCCAGTACTGCAGGAAATTGGAGCAGAGTCCCATAAGAGAGAATTTCAACGGAAACTATTTAGAAAAACATAGATGTGCTCAGCTTGTTTATTCGTTTGAAGAGACCCAGTCTCTCTTATCCCGGCACACAGGCCTCAACTCCTATCACATACATTTTGCTCCAAAACTTGCACAGCCTGCCAGTCCCGTTCAGAAAAGAGTATTCGGTAGTAAATCTCCAATTCTTTAAACCTAAAGGAATCAGTTTAGGCTTGATTTCCGTCATTAAGGATCTACCGTCATGAAGATAATATACGCGAGACTTTGCTGGGAAAATCAGTTCCTGATTTTCGAAAGCTATCATTCTATCAATAACATCGGCGTTGCCATTGTGTAGGATACTACAAAACACAAAAAAGCAATTGAATCCTATGGCGCGAGTGCACTTTTGAAAGCAAAGCGATGTGGAGCTGTTCAAAGAACTACCTTTACTGAGTAACCCACATGGGGTTATCGGGTTATCGGTGGTAGTGCTCACGTACATAGCATTAATTTTAGAAAGGTCACCTGTCGTTAACTTAGCACCACAAGTTCTTCTCACCGCACTGCCACAGATATATTCCAATGTTTGGCATAGTCTTGTTCGCAATTTTGACACCTATAATTCGGTACTGCACCGTCCGTTGGCCATAAACACCTGCTCTTCTGTTTCCCTCACCACGAAGGTGACTGGACGACAAGCTAGCACTAAATGGCGTCGGCACCAAAAGCTGAAGTCGAATTTTGAAATAGGGCACTGAATAACCCTTACAAGCAGGTTTTGGTGGAAGGTTGCAGCACCTGACTAGCGCCACCGTCGGCAATGAGTGATATGATTGATATGAGATAACAATTAACATTCTGCTTAGAGAAGGTTTTGATGCAGATTTGGCCATCCGTTGATGGTGCTATTCAATATGGCAAAACGAGTCAACACTGGATTCTATCAGGAATAACACCAATCCCTGGAAGGGTGCTAATGTATGTGGCCTTAAGAAGGGCTATTCCGTCTCCAGTCCTCAGTCACAAAATCTACACTTTGTAGTTCACGGAAATAACAACGATCATTGCACACCTCAAAGAACCAAACAGAATGTCGGAAAGCAGGAGTAGCTTTCAATTAGAATTGTTTTCGACTGAGAAGTATCAACAGCAAAATGACCTGAATAAAGCCAATGAATATCTTACTTCCATTTGGGAGTGTATTGTAATCGTTCTGGTAAAGGAGATCTTCTTGAGAGACCTGAAAATCTGAAGTATAAGCTTCTTTCATAAACTTCATTCAACGAACATGTTAACATAAGCTAGCGCAAAATGTTAAAAATAGAATTCACTTACTATTCCTGATCCTAGTTGACGATAAAGAAAGAATATAGGAAAAGTGGTGAGGAATACAAGAAGCACAAAAAGGACCCACACGTTCGTTTTCATTACCAAAAACTGCCACAGGGACAGAGTAGAAACTAACTAATAAAAGCAAGAAGAGGAGCACCATTCATACACGCACTTTTGCCGAGCAGAGCACCGTAGCAGCAGCACAAACATTGAAAGGCGGTCCGTAGTAATACGTTGTTCCATTTTCCGATTGCACCGATATCCTGGTACAGTACCTCGAAAATGCATCAAGAATTGTCGATGCCTCAACTAGCCGAAAAAAAAATCGATAATGGGCTCCATTGATGTCCTAATCTGCGTGGGAATTATCTCCTGCGCCATCTCTTTGATTGTTATTGGTCATATCATATCACCAGTCGTTATGATTAGATCGTTTCAGTCTTGCAAGATGTGTCGCTGATCGAGTTTCTCAAGTAATCTACTTCGCAATGAATTTTAACAACGGTAATCATCCGTCGACAGTCGATGCTGAACTACCATGTGTGTCAAGGTAGGATTATTTTATTAGCTTGCTACTCTGTTTCATGCTTTGGCGGGTTTCCCGTTTCTAATGTTATGATATTTAGATGTTGACACGTCGTTCTAATCGTTTTGTGATTGCCAAGCATCCCGCTTGACCTGAGCCTCCATTCAAGTCATCTATCCTATTGATTTGACGTCTGGTTTGATGTCGACAACAAAGTTCGATCATGCCACAAGAACGCCTTTAGAATCAAAAAAGGGTCTCATTCAGTATGGGCATGTGGCTACAGTTACAGAAATGAATGTTTGCAAGGGAGCCGATCTCCAAGGTGCGTGAACCATTTCGTGTCCGTTTCTACACCTTCACACACTTCACAAGGTTCTCAAAACTCTTCTCCTGTGTAAAAGTTTGTATTACTTTAGGCGGGCAGCAATGTCAAATGCCACAATGCCGCCTCATCTTCTGAATATTAGTTAAATAAAAAAACATTTAAAACGACACGAAACAATTATACGAAGTTATACGAGTCGTACTAAGGATATTTTCACGCCTTTACCTTCTTGATACTATTGTTTTGAGGTATAGTTGACATGACAAAGCAGCAATGAGATCCTATTTTCTTGACTGACGTTCTTCTTATAGCAACGCTGTGGAATGGGTGGAGATTGTGGAGCCACAGACGAAGCAGCACATGTACGCCAATCTGATATCTGGGCAGTGCTCATGGGAGCCTCCTCCTGGGGCGTCAGTGTAAGAAAATGTTTCATTTGTTTATTTTTGTGACTCATTGCCGCTCACAAAAGCAATACTCCTAACATCTTGCGTATAGTTTGCCATTAGTGGCTATGGAATGGTTATCCTTCTTTCGTTTGAAGAGCAATGAAATGGTTATTTTTCTTTTGATTCAAGAAAGTTTTGATTTTAACTTCGTTAACCACAGCTGTCATCCTACAGTGTTCCTCTGAACATTATTCCTCTAGTCTGCTTCGCAGAGTGTAGTATTTTGTTTACTATTCGACATAAAATTTACGGCTGTATCTGAATGGCTACATTACATATGAGATGGGGAATAAATAGGCAAAACACATAATGCAGCGTCGATGTGTTAATTAGCTTTATGTTGGTCGGGCGGAAATGAGATCTAATATCACGAACACCGTTTTATCGGCTTTTTCTTTTGAATCCAGGATTGCTCCTTATCTGCAACAAACTACCTACTTTTTAGGAACTTTTCTCGGTCTCACTTTTTCCTAAACTCAGCTCCAGGCATTCATTTTCTTTTCTGCTGCAGTTTCTTGTTTTACTTCCTTTATTTTTGATCTTTCCTCTTTTGAATGACCTCTCCTAAGTAACCTTAGGTGAGGTCTTTGCTGAGCCACATCGTCTTCTGTAGTTTGACTTCATTCAACAACTCAGTTACGCCCCGCGTCTGCGTGTAGCATAGTTTCTTAACGGTGCGCTCACTGTAAACACCTAGTGTAAGTTTTGCAGGGGTCTGCACTTGATGCACGGTAGTATAATTCTTTGCCATCATATAGAGGAAATTGTCTCTGAAGGATAGCGCACTTTCTAGGGAAACAAGTGATGAAAAGCTCTTTCCTACTATTAGGTTTTAGATCTGGTTTTGATTGTTTTTCTTGCCAAAAATGCGTTACTTGTGTACAATAGCCCTGGTAAATTGGCAGTTTAGTTCGGTTAAGTGACTCGATTCTCCTAATATCTTGCACTATCCTCATAAGTTTGATCACGATTTTATGCAGCCGGCTAGGCCTGTATTGTTTTTACCAAGTGTGTTCAGATGAGGCTTCTGGACGCCTTGTACCGAGAAGTTGGAAAGCAGAAACGCAGAGAAGTTCGTCTTCAGGCTGGCTAAGGCCCGGCATCGTGCTACCCAAGACATCAGGGTGGTGAAAAGTGTGAAAGGCAGAGATGGTGTCATCCTAAGGAAGCCAGCCGAAGTCAAGAGGAGGTGGGAAGAGTACTACAGTGCACTTCTGAACGAGGAGTTCCCCCACGAGAACAACTCACGGGCAGAGGCCACAGCTGGTCCCATCGCACTCTGGACTGAGGATGAGGTTAGGTGTGCACTTGGGAGGATGAAGATTGGGAAGGCGGTTGGTCCAGATGGGGTGCCAATCGAGGCATGGAAGGCGCTGGGTGACTACGGGATAAGGATGGCTCACACGATTCCTCAACAACATAACTGCGGAAGGAAGGATGCCAGATGCCTGGAGAACAAGCACTATCGTCCCCATCTTCAAGCAGAAGGGTGACGCGATGGACTGCTCCAACTACCGCGGGATCAAGTTGACTGCTCATACAATGAAGCTGTACGAGCGACTGGTCGACTCGAAACTGCGGGAGCTGGTCCCGATCTCCCAGGAACAGTTCGGGTTCATGCCCGAAAGGTCTACAACGGATGCCATCTTCATCGCAAGGCAAGTGATGGAGAAGTATCGAGAAAAGCGCCGACCCTGCTACCTAGCCTTCCTCGACCTGGAGAAGGCGTTCGACCGGCTACCGCGAGCAGTGCTGTGGAGGTCGCTCAGGGAACGAAACGTGCCAGAACACCTGATCTCGCTGGTGAAGGACATGTACGATGGGGCGAAGGCAGCTATACGCACCCCACACGGCCTAACGAAGGAAGTGGACATCACGGTTGGGGTGCACCAAGGGTCAGCTCTGAGCCCGTTCCTCTTCCTCCTGACACTAGATGTCCTGGTGAAGGGGCTCATGGAAGGACCGCTAAAGACCATCCTCTACGCTGACGACATCGCCCTGATAGCGGATAGTAGAGAGGAACTACAGGCCAAGGTGCAGCAATGGCAGAAGGTCCTGGCAGAAGGCGGCTACGGCTGAATGTCAAGAAGACCAAGTTCCTGAGTTCTGAAGAGGGTGCAGAGCCGATCGTGGACGGGCATGGCGAAAGCATCGAAAGAGTGGAGGACTTCCGATACCTTGGAAGTGATCTGGCGGCCGACGGCAGTGTGGACCAGGCAGTAAATGGGGAGGATCAACGCGGCATGGATGAAATGGAGGGAGTCCACTGGAATCCTCTGCGACCGAAGGTGCTCCAGAGCGCTCAAAGGGAAGGTGTACCGAACAGTGGTAAGGCCTGCGATGCTCTACGGCAGCGAGTGCTGGCCCCTGAACAAGAATCACGAAAGGCAGCTTCACTCCGCTGAGATGAGGATGCTGAGGTGGGCCTGCGGCTGGACGCGACTGGACAGGGTCAGGAACGAGGATGTCAGAGCGGTCATGCAGACTGCCCCTGTCCAGCTGAAGGTGAGGGAGCAACGACTGCGGTGGTATGGACATGTGCTGAGAAGACCGCAAGGCCACCCGATAAGGAATGCGATGGACTTCGAAGTGCAAGGCAAGCGACCGCGAGGAGCCCCAAAGAAGAGGTGGAAGGATGTGATCAAGAAGGACCTAAGTGAAATCACGGCCACTGCAGGAGATGCCCTAGACAGAGCGAAGTGGCGACGACTGACAAAGACAGCGGACCCTGCGACTGCGCGGGACTAACGCTAGGGAGAAGAAGAAGAAGAAAGAAGTTCAGATGAGTTGTTCTTATCACT